GGTGGACCTCCATCCTTGTTATAGTTTGGATCTGTGTCTCCACCAAATCTCCTGTTAAATTGTAATCTCCAGTACTGGAGGTGGGGCCTGGTAAGAAGTGATGAAGCCATAGGGACAGGTTCTCATGAATAGTTTAGTACCATCCTCTTGGTACTGTTCTTGTGATAGTGGGTGAGTTCTTGTGAGATCTGGTTGTTTAAAAGTGTGTGGTACCTGCCATTTCTCTCTCTCCCTCCTGTTACAGCCATCTGAAGTGCTGGCTTTCTGTTTGCCTTCTGCCATGATTTAAGTTCTCTGAGGTCTCCCCAGAAGCTGAGAAAATGCTGCCATGTTTCCTGCACAGCCTGTGGAACCATGAGCCAATTAAACCTCTTTTCTTTATAAATTACCCAGTCTCAGGTATTTATAGCAGTGTAAGAACAAAGTAATACAATCCTAAACCCTAGGGGATAAAATTTGGGACTCAAAATATTCTTATTCCCATAGTGATTGGTTCAGAAGTGGGAATGTGACCTTAAATTATCCCATCAGAGAAAATGTTAAGACTTCTCCTGGGAGTTCTGGAGTAGTTGCTCCCTCTTCTTTGGTTAAATTTGAACCTGGAAAGTTCAAAGGTAAGCTCAGCTTTAGGTGTGACTTATGTGGAAACTCATATGATGTACAAAATTAACTTTTGGTTAAATTTGTAACTAAGCAGTTTTGACCCTGACACTGCAGGTCACATAGCAAGTGAAGAAATGGAGGCCCTATATTCCAAACATAGAACTATATGCCTACATATGTGAAAATTATAAATTCAAGCATAATGTTAAAAACAACTGTTCTTTTCTCCTAGTGTATTGCGTGGACACAATACACTTTCGTAATGACCTGGAAGGTCAGGTTCAAGTTCTTAGAATCCTTAGATTTCAGCTCTGGAACATGGCTGGATGGAATGATCACATATTCTTCTCACACATTGTCCCATCTCCTTCTCACTCTTGCCTCAATTCTGCACAACAAGAGGACTCATAATCATTTGTGAAAGCCTAGCCTGGTCATTCAAATTCCGTCTACACCCTCTGCAAACAACTAACACCTGCACCCAAAGGTATACACATTGACAGTTTGGCTCATCCTCAAAAGGATGAACTTGAGGAAGAAACCTACACCTACTCCAAGTCAAGAACTAGCTTGTAGATTTGGGGCAGGGAATCCTTGTGTCCATGATATCCAGAGTATGGTCTAAAAGGATGTGAGAAGGTTCCAGGAGCATATGTCCCATTGGCCCCAGAGGCTGTTTTGTCCCATGGGGAGGGACTGACCTGGAGAAGAGCTCTCTATAATGCAGAGTCTAGGGGAGGGGCCTTTTTGCCTGGATTTAAAGATGTTACATAGCTTCAGGCAACCATCTCAATTGTGAGGGTAGAATCTATGTTAGAATAAATCCAAGATAATAGAGGACGACCAAGGCAAACCAAGAAATGGTGAGAACTGGGTTATGGTTACATCATATGAGTTTCCACATAAGCCACACCTAAAGCTGAGCTTACCCTTGAACTTTCCAGTTATATAAGCTAATTCATTTGGTTTTTGTTCAAGCCCATTTAGGGTAAGGCTTCTGTCATTTGCAGGCTGAAAGAATATGTCTGATAGGTTTCTCATGGTGTTGTGTGAATGACTCATGTCTGGGCTGCTCTGCTTCCTGAAACAGTGGGGTTGCCCTTAATCCCTGCAAGTGAGAGAGTTGTCCTAATTCCCTTCCCTATTCCCTGGTGTGGAGGAGGTTGTACGTCTGGTGCTAAGTCTATTCTTTGTCAGACCCATTTTGCCTAAGTATCAGTCTGCCTCATAGCTGCACCCTCCTAGTTTACAGGGTGAAGAAACTATCAACTGCCAAAAAGTAAGCCACTTAGAAAAGTACAGTCATCCATAGGTATCCATGGAGAAACTGATTCCAGGACGCCCCTCAGATACCAAAATCCTCGGATACTCAAGACCTTGATATAAGATGATGTATTTCCACATGACCTACATATATCCGAAATATCCTCCCATATACTTTTTTTTTTTTTCTTTTTTTGAGATGGAGTCTCACTCCGTCACCAGGTTGGAGTGCAGTGGCGTGATCTCGGTTCACTGCAACCTCTGCCTCCCAGGTTCAAGCAATTTTTCTGCCTCAGCCTCTCAAGTAGCTGGGACTACAGGTGTGTACCACCATACCCAGCTAATTTTTGTATTTTTAGTAGAGACGGGATTTCACCATGTTGGCCAGGATGGTCTCGATCTCTTGACCTAATGATCTGCCCGCCTTGGCTTCCCAAAGTGCTGGGATTATAGTGAGCCACCACGCTCAGCCCCTCCCATATACTTTAAACCATCTCTAGATTACCTATAATACCCAATACAATGTAGATGCTATATAAATAGTTGTTATTCTATATTGTTTTATAAATACATATTGTTTTTTATTATTGTATTGTAATTTTTTTTCCTAAATTTTTTTTTTTTTGAGACAGAGTCTCACACTGTCACCTAGGCTGGAGTGCAGTGGCCTGATCTCAGCTCACTGCAACCTCGGCCTCCTGGCTTCAAGCGATTCTCCTGCCTCAGCAAGTAGCTGGGATTACAGGCACCTGCTACCATGCCCAGCTAATTTTTTGTATTTTTAGTATAGACAGGGTTTCACTATGTTGGCCAAGCTGGTCTCAAACTCCTGACCTCGTGATCCTCCTGCCTTGACCTCCCAAAGTGCTGGGATTACAGGCATGAGAAACTGCGCCCGGCCCCAAATATTTTTTATCTGTGGCTGGTTGAATCCACAGACACCCAAGCATTCACAAAACCAACTGTAATGCTATGCTGAGCCGATTTAAAATATGCAACAATGGGATAAACCACAAAGAAAAGACTTCCACAACTCAGTGAATTCTATCATCTTGGAAGCATCAATTCTTTATCACCAGATTCTTCAGTAAAGGCAGTTCAAACATGGCTTTACTGTGAAGGAAAGAGATATTCCTACTTTGAAAACTGGTTCTTATGTTCCTTTGCAGGTTGCCTTCAAAATTTAAGAAGATGTATATGTGTGTATAAACAATTTTGTTTTTTATTCCCCATCTTGAATGACTGCAGTTTTAGTGCCAGTTAATAAAGGTTCAGTTTTGAATTCTGGCCCCCTAGCAGAGACCCTAAAACCTAGAAATTAACTTCCTGAGGTCCATAGAACACTACTTTATAATAAAGGGGGAAACAAAATACATCACCAATTTCAATTGGTATATCACCATTTTCCCCATGAAATCATACCCTTATGAAATGTGTGGCTTTTTAATCAAAAAAGTGTTGAGGATGAAAAGTTATATATGTGGATTTTTCTTTTTTTTTTTTTTTGAGATGGAGTCTCGCTCTGTCACCCAGGCTGGAGTGCAGTGGCGTGATCTCGGCTCCCTGCAAGCTCCACCTCCTGGGTTCACACCATTCTCCTGCCTCAGCCTCCTGAGTAGCTGGGACTACAGGCACCCGCCACAACGCCTGGCTAATTTTTTGTATTTTTAGTGGACATGGGGTTTCACCGTGTTAGCCAGGATGGTCTCAATCTCCTGACCTCATGATCCGCCTGCCTCAGCCTCCCAAAGTGCTGGGATTACAGGCATGAGCCACCATGCCCAGCCTACATGTGGATTTTTTTTTTTTTTTTAATGAAAATTATGGCCAGGCACAGTGGCTCACGCCTGTAATCCCAACACTTTTGGAGACTGAGTGGGGAGGATTGCTTGAGCTCAGGAGTTGGAGATCAACCTGAGCAACATAGCAAGACCTCATCAGTACAAAACATCAAAAAAATTAGCTGGGCCTAGTAGTGGCTGATGTCCCAGCTATTCAGTGGGCTGAGGTGGGAGGATCACTTGAGTGCAGGAAGTCGAGGCTGCTGTGAGCCCTGATTACACCACTGCACTCCAGCCTGGGTGACAGACTAAGACACTGTCTCAAAGATAAGTAAATACAATAAAATGAAATGAAAATCATAATATAAATGTTCAGAGTATTAGCCCAAGGAAGACATCTCCAGTTCTCTAATAAATGACTTCCCCAGCTCCTGTAGATGGTGAGTATGTCTGCTCTGTTTATACAACATGCCCTGACACCACTCCTTTTACCTTTGGCCACAGAGGGGAAGAGAGAAAGTGGGGGTGAGGGGACAGGAATAAAGCTGATGAACAAAGGAACAGAAATGAGAGATTAAGAGGACCCAGAAAGACACACACAAAGTAGGGGTGGTGGGCAAGGATGTTGACTGCTTTCCAGTTCCTGGTGCCAACCTCTCTCTTGAGGGCCACTGCCCATTGATTTGGAAAGAGACTCACCATGGCTTTTCAATAAATTACAGAGTTTTTTTTTCTGTTTCCATTAAAATGGAAATTCTTAAGTAAAACACATACTTTCAAAAAGTTTATCTTCTAACTTGCGTACAGTCATGGATTTTTAGCTCACTAAACTTTAAAGAAAACCTTAAGAGTGACTCTTTTTGGTCTGGGCATATCCTGAAATTCTGTGATTACTGCCACTTGAGCAAGAATTTTCTCTTCTGCTACATAAGAAAGTTGTATTTAAAGCAGTCATTTTACTAGCAGTCAATGTAAGTGGTGCAATTTGCAATGTTCTTGGGATTTTAAAGTACAGATTTCCCCTGAAATCCTCAGCAATAATTAGGTTTTGAATCAATTGCTGAAGTCCTTAATGACTCAAATCATCAGCACATTTGAAAATTTTGAACTTTACCTCTTGGTTTCAGTGGTCTCTATTTACTCTATATTTAAATGATTCTAGCAGGCATTGATGTTTGTCCTCAAGTAAAAGAAAAGAAATATTTTCTATCTGCCTGTTTTTTTCTAACCTTGATTAATTTTCCAGGTCAGTCTTTTTTTTTAATTAAAAAGAAATAACATCCATAAAAACCTCTCTGCCATTTATATATTTGTATTAGTTTGCTAGGGCTACCATAACAAAGGACCATGTACTGTAGTGATTTAAAACACAGAAATTTATTTTCTCACAATTCTGGAGGCTGAAAGCCTGAAAACAAGGTGTGATCAGGTTTGGTTTCTTGTGAAGCCTCTCTTCTTGGCTCGTAGATGGCCATCTTCTCCCTGTGTCTTCACCTGGTCTCCCCTCTGTGCCTGTCTGTGTCCAAATGTCCTCCTACAAGGACACCGGTCATACTGGATTAGGGCCCACCTTAGTGACCTCATTTAACCTTAATTAGCTCTTTAAAGACTCTGTCTCCAAATACAGTCACATTTTGAGATACTGGGAGTTGGGACTTCAGCATATGAATTTTGAGGGGCCACAATGCAGCCCATAACACCATTCAAGCAATATTTTGAGTGCCTAATAGGAGCTGTTCTAAAGACTGAGAACAACTATGCAATAAAAAGGTCCTCTCACTCACCTTCATAAAGATTCAAATCTTGAAGAGTATATTTTATTTAGAATGCTGTTTAAGCCTCTGTGACAGAGACCACAGAGTAGAATAGGTAGAAGCTTCATTCCCACATGAGAGTCCCAAGGTAGACAGCCCAGGCCTGCAGGACAGCTGTGCCAGCCCACGACCGGCTTCCTTTCTGGGCCCAGGGTAGCTTCTCTGGCTCTCACCATCTCCTCCACATCACAACCAGCAGGAAGGAGGAAAGGAAAATGCCCGTTCCTTTTAAGGGCATGGCCTGGAAGTCCCACCTATTATTTCTGTTCACATCACTTTGGTCAAAAGAGAGTCATACACGTACAGCTGGCTGCCAGGAAGACTGAAAAATGTAGTATTTAGCTAAGTAGTCATGGGCCTAGATAAATCAAAATTTACTATAGATAAAAGGGCAAATGGATATTAGTGGACAATTAGTGGGGACAGAGACCATAACAGGCAATGTTTCTATTTGCTATATAGTAAGTGAGACAGAGTAGACTATTTTCAGAAGCACCATAGCTGGAGTAGAAAAAGCGATGGAAAAAGATGGAGATGTACAGAAAAATGGAAACCAGAGACCAGAGAGAGAGCAAGTAAGAAAGGAGCTGCCTTATTCCCTAAAGCTTTTTAGATCCTGATCCTAATCCCTCATGTTATGGCAGTACTTTTTTATTGCTTTTAAAAAATCTTAAATTGTTTATAAATTCAGATTTCAATTTCTTTTTAAAGTGACTTTTCTATTTACAATGCCCCCTTGCCTGCAAAGCAAGTACTTGGTTTCAACCAACAGTTCAGAAAACTGGGTCCTACTGCTTATTCTTATGGAAAAATAATTGCCATAATTGCAACTGGGAAAGAAGTCAGCTCCACAGTTGCTTAATAGTATACATTGATATTTTAACTGTGTAACCACAAAAGAAGGAATGTATGAAAAAAGGAAATGATGTGTAAAAGATGCTGAAAGTTATTAATAGGGTTTGCCAAACCTGTTAATCTCTTATATTTTTGTGTAAAATGTACTTTTAGAGAAATAGTGTTCATAGAAAAGGCTGTACACATATTAGAAATTGCTACCACAAGGACTGCACAGTTTTCTAGCAATAAGGTTTTCCTACATAGTGTAATAAATACATGCAAAGCATTCCAGTCAAAAGTATTGATCTACTAGTGGTTATGAAAGCCATAAAGCTGAGATAAACTCATAAAAGTTTAAAAGGGAGCTTTTCTAAAGACTGGAAATTCATTTATTTTATATATTTCCTAGATAAATTTCTAAATGATGGTTCATAAAATATTGTAGTTTTTTAAAAAAAGATATTCCAAAATTAGTTCACTCTGCAATCAATGAACCAGTGAAAATTCACCTGAAACTGCTACAAATTAGACTTACAAATGTTTGGACCACCCAACATTCATTCCCTCTTCTTAACAGTATCCCAGTTTCCTTTGGGAAAGTACTTCTTCCGCTTGGAAATACTCTTGGTAAAATGGTGAATTCAGGTGCCTTCATTTCTGCTATGGATGAGAACGAGGCCTCTGGAGGCTCCTTCCACCAGAACCTTCCACTCAACAACCAGATGGAGCTAGAGGGCTGGCACCTGGTGTAAGCTAGCTCAATTTAAAGTTCACTCCTGGGAATTTAAATCTTAAATAATGTGAAAAAGAACCTTACATCGGTAGCATTTACTCATTCCAGAACTGGTACTCTGCTTGTTGAGTATATGCCTAAGTCTCCAGAGATTTGCATAAATTCCACCAGTTCCTATATAATTCCATTTTCCTTAGATTCAGCAGATTTGGTTTCCATTGTTTTCAATCCTCAAGCCCTAACTGTTCCACCTTCTATCTACTCATTTATAAACTGACCAAATTACGACTAAAAATAAATAAGTAAAATAAACAACAAAACCGAACAACCTTACAACAGATTAAGAAATTTCGGCAGGAACTGCCAACAAGGAAAAAGATGGACAGGCTGGGCGCGGTGGCTCACGCCTGTAATCCCAGCACTTTGGGAGGCCGAGGTGGGCGGATAATGAGGTCAGGAGATTGAGACCATCCTGGCTAACACGGTGAAACCCTGTCTCTACTAAAAATACAAAAAATTATCCAGGCGTGGTGGTGGGCACCTGTAGTCCCAGCTACTCAGGAGGCTGAGGCAGGAGAATGGCATGAACCTGGGAGGTGGAGCTTGCAGTGAGCCAAGATCGCGCCACTGCACGCCAGCCTGGATGACAGAGCGAGACTCTGTCTCAAAAAAAAAAAAAAAAAAAAAAGACAAAAGATGGACAAAAAGGTGGAAGTCTGAATAAAGTTGCTACAAAGTTTTCTCGAATTTTTCAAAAATCTTAATAAATATGGTAATCATATGGTAATTGTTCCCAATAGAAAAGATAAAGGAAAATATCAAAAGTATCACAGGTCTGGGTGCAATGGATCATGCCTGTAATCCCAGCATTTTGTGAGGCTGAGGCAGGCAGATTGCTTGAGCTCAGAAGTTTGAGACCAGCCTGGGCAACATAGCGAAACCCCGCCTCTAAAAACAATACAAAAATTAGCAGTGTGTGGTAGCACACACCTGTAGTCCCAGCTACTCGGGTGGCTGAGGCAGGAGGATCACTTGGTCCTGGGATGTGGAGGTTGCAGTGAGCTGAGATTGCACCATTGCACTCCAGCCTGGGCAACAGAAGGAGAACCTTTCTTAAAACAAAAACCAAAAAATGTATCATACACACAAAAAAGTTCAGCTTCATTAGTAATAAAATAAATATAAATTAAAACTTGATATAAACTTTTCAACCATAAAATTGAAAGTGGTTTACAATGTAAATACTGTTGAGAGGGTATATTGCAATCTGGCAATATGTGATAAGAACCATCAAAATACTCATATTGATGTATTAGTCAGAAAACAAGGACTACTATAAAGATTATAGAATAAAAGATGAGTTGTATGAATAGACCTTACACAATTGTGGGAAAAGCTGGGGAAGTGAAAGCCTAGATAAGGGCAAGTTTGAGAATCAGAAAAAGAATCATTAACCAATCCTCAGCAACTGGGGTGGGAGGAGAACCAGTGTTTAAGGAAACAATCTGAGATATTGGCATGGACAGTGAGGGGATTTGTAGGGGGTCTTTGGGAATCCATTGCCTCTGGAGATCTGCAGCCAGGCATCTGGTGGCAGGTCTGGGGCCACTGTCCATCAGCAGGGCCAGGAATAGGAAGAAGGGCTAGCCACCAAGAGAAGAGCAAGGACTACCCGGAACTTTTCGTGTACTCACAACAAAGACCTTCAAAGAGAAAAGGAAGCCACTGCCTAACTTCCACTGTTCAAACCACACATGAGTTCCTCCTTTGGCCAACTCTGCCTCCTAGCCTGTAGGGAAAGAAATTCTGGGAAATTCCAGACCCAACCAAACTGACAATAGTACAATCCAGTACTCATATATTTTTGACCCTGTCGCTCCATTCCACATCTAGGAATGGATTATAATGAGGCGGGAAATGTCATCAAATATTAAATAAAATACAACTATGGCTGTCATAGTTAAAACAGGCAAGGGTCAGGCACGGTGGCTCATGCCTGTAATCCCAGCACTTTGGGAGGCTGAGGTGGGTGGATCACCTGAGGTCAGGAGTTCGAGACCAGCCTGGCCAACATGGTGAAACCTTGCCTCTACTAAAAATCAGCCAGGCATAGTGGTGCGTGCCTGCAATCCCAGCTACTCAGGAGGTTGAGGCAGGAGAATCGCTTGAACCTGGGAGGCAGAGGATGCAGTAAGCCAAGATCGCACCACTGCACTCCAGCCTGGGCAACCAGAGCAAAACAACAACAACAACAACAAAAAACAAAACAAAACAAAACCAAACAAAAAACCACGCTAAAGTGGAAATAAGTTGATAGCTCCACAACAGGGGAAAGGTGAAACAGGCTAGGGTAAGACACAAACAAGACTTTTCCTCTTACCTGAATAAGAAGAGAGAGAAAAAAATGAAGACTTTTTGCATGTTCATTAAAAAAATTACTTTGAATGACTTTTAATGATATGGTTATGTCTTCATAATATAGAATATAAAAAGGGTAAGTATACACAAAATTCTACCTACATTAGAATTACAATTTTGGAAACATAGTCATAGATTTTGTTTTCTTTTTACATTTCCTTACACTTTTTACACTTCTTCCATTCCCAAAGTCATCATTTAAAAACCCGAATCTTTTAAAAATGTGCATCCTTTGGCTAAAATCCCAACGAGGCTTTTCACTGCACCTAGAATAAAGTGCAAATCCTTCCCACTGTCTGCAAGGCCCCTCATGGTCCTGCCTGTGTTGGCTGCTCTAACTGCATCTCAGATAGCTCTTTGCTTGGCTCATTGAGCTCCAGCCCCACTGGACTTTGGTAGGTTCCTAGCATAGGCTAAGCTCTCTCCTATTGTAAGGATTTGGCAGTCATTGTTAGTCAGTTGAGATGCTGTTCCCCAGATCTCTTTTTTCAGATCTGAGTTCAAGCGTTACCTCCTCAAAGAGATCTTTCTCTGAAGACCCCATCTAATGTGTCTCTGTTCCCCACCCCACCCAGCAGTCTTTCTCCCTCTTATTGCCCTGTTCATCTTGTCTTCATTAACTAAAATTATGCTTTTCCTTAGCAATGGCCCTCACTAGGAAGTAGGGTCCACTACTCAGAGGAGGGACCTTATCTGTCTTATTTATTATTGTACCCCTGTGACTCCAACAAAGTCATCAAAGCTCTCTATGCTGCTGAATGAATGGATTAATGGATGAATTAATTTTTTTGAATTTTTTACAATGAAAAAGTTTCCTTTTATAAGGAAAAAATATTTGGAAGGGATATGTTGCTTGAAGGGCAATCTTGTGTCAGGAGGGATTTTCACATGTTATGTAACTTAAGCTTTCTTGGTTGTCTTATCTAGTGATTACCCAGGCCTATTTTTGCTGCTCTGTTCCTCTTGCAAGATCTAGCTAGCAGTCTCCCTTCTACAGAAGGGTAAGGAATTAAATGTTTGTAAAAGCATGGGAATCTGGAAAGCATTCTCCCCTATGGTATGAATCATGTAATTCATAACAGTTAGTAGGCAAAGTGAGTTTTGCCCACAAATCATGATGACACTGTAAAATTTCCAGAGATCATGAATTCAAACCCTATTTTATGACCACACCTGCCTCCCTTTCTAGCTCAGCGCACCAGGCACTCTCAACACCTCTGGTCTGCGACCCCAGTCCCCCCATTGACAATTCTGCTCTCTTCACGTTGCTTGGCTTCTCCTGCTTTCATGTCATTCTATTATGGCCAATGCGTCAGCTGCTCTTCCTCGTTAATCCTAAACTCCTAAAGTTACTTATTTCTCTGTCCTTCAGAACCTCCTCTCTGAGAAAAATCTCAGCTAAGGAGAAATGCAACTGCCTATCTTCTCCACGTCTGTGCCTTGGTTTTGAGCTGTCTTGGGAGCAGCAAAATTATATCTGCTTTTGCTTTAGAAGAACTTATAATGTTCCAATCTTTGGATGCCCTTTAAATAGGCAAGTCTCAGTGAAGTCAGGTTACAGTGCCTGAATAGCTTTACCCTCCTGATCCAACAGCACATACACACAAGGATGGAAGATAGTACTGGATATGTGAGTACTTGTTAAGCCCCTCCCTTCACTGCAGTGGGCAAGTGGTCGTCCAGGCAGTGATTAGCTCACTTGGTGGACAGCCAACAACAAAACAGTACCACCTACCCACTGTACTAGCTAGGTCTCCCTCCAGTCTGGGGAAGCTGTCTCATTCTTTTGGGGGTAGGGAGAAATTTTATGTACAGGAAATAAAAGCATCAAAGTGGAGTTTTCATTAGGTTTTAGTCAGAAGGTAGAATAAACAGGTGGACCTATTTCTGAAAATTTTATTTTGGGAATTTTCATACGATAATCTTTTCCACAATAACCAATGAAAAACTTCTAGTGCTTTCCTGTGGTTGATGGGTTTTATTTCTTTGGCAAACATGAACTCTAGTGAGGGCAGCTAAATAGAAAACTTTATGCAAGGAACTTAGCATCCTGGCCTATTTTGTGCTAACCTAATTTTCTGTGAACTTTGTAGCAAATGAAGCTCTCTGTGTGACAGGTTCCTTTTTTAGATTCCAAAACCAGCAGCTACGTTGTTAAATTTTATGGTTCCATGAATTTTGGAATCAGCCTCAGCAATTTTTCATGCTTTCCATGCCCCCCTAAGGGAAAGTGGGCAGCCATTAGAAAGTAGCCATGGAAAACTTCCTTTTACCCATTAACTAAGTGCTTCTGGAGAAAAAAAAATCACCCTGTGGAGCAGATTTCTTTCACTACAAACTTATGGATACTCACTTCACCTGGGCCCACAACACTCCCTGTCAGTCATCCTCTGTTTCCCAACTCACCTCTTTCTCTTCTCAACAATAATTTTTCAAACCTTCCCTATTATTTTCACACCCCTTGCCACTTTTCCACTATCAAAACTCCAGTTGCTTCAATTCTCTATTCACTCTTAGAAAGACTGTCTTTGCATAAAAAGTAGAAGCCATCTGAGGCCGGGCGCGGTGGCTCAAGCCTGTAATCCCAGCACTTTGGGAGGCCGAGACGGGCGGATCACAAGGTCAGGAGATCAAGACCATCCTGGCTAACATGGTGAAACCCCGTCTCTACTAAAAAATACAAAAAAACTAGCCAGGCGAGGTGGCGGGCGCCTGTAGTCCCAGCTACTCGGGAGGCTGAGGCAGGAGAATGGCGTAAACCCGGGAGGCGGAGCTTGCAGTGAGCTGAGATCCGGCCACTGCACTCCAGCCTGGGTGACAGAGCGAGACTCCGTCTCAAAAAAAAAAAAAAAGAAAGAAAAGAAAAGAAAATAGAAGCCATCTGAAAGGTATTCCTTCCATTCCTACCACAATTACACACAGCTACTCTAATCCAGACCCAACTCTTCCCCCTTTCTTTCTATTACCATAGAGGTCTCCCTGTTCTGTTTAAAGCTTACCTCTCTGTGGTAGACACCTGGAAGATGATGGTTCCCAGCGTTCCCCACTTCTTAGTTCTTCATGCCCTTGTGTAATCCCCTCCTCTTGAAGAAGGTTGGACATGGTGACTTGCTCTTAATAAATAGAATACAGAAAAGTGATAGAATGTCACTTCCAAAGTTAGGTTACCAAAAGATTGTGACTCCTGTCTTGGGCATCCTCTAGGTCTCTCTCACTCTCTCATGCACCCTGGAAGAAGCTAGCTCTATTGTGAGTTGTCCTATAGAGAGTTTCGTGTGCCACGGGGGGCATCTGGCTGACAGCCAGCAAGGAACTACCCAACAGTCTGTGAGGCATTGAATGCTGACAACAACCATGTGAGCAAACTCAGAGGCAGGTCCTCCCACTATGTGAGTCTCGACAGATTAGACCACAACCCAAGCAAGTAGCCTGATGGCAACCTCTTGAGAGCCCTTGAGCCAGATGCACCCAGTGAAACTAAACCCTGGTTTCTAACCCATGAGAACTGTTGAGAATAATAAATGTTTGCTGTTTCATGCAGCTACATTTTTGTGTAATTTCTAGCAATACATAAATAATACAACCTTCATCTGTCCTCTGTATCCTTCTCACCTGCTTCTCTCTTTCCCACATCTTCAAATCTTCTCTGTACCCATTCCTTCTAATTAGTAGTTAAACATGGGGGTCAGGGGCAAGCTATCTAAAAGAAGGAAATCTTCAATTCTAATTCCTCTTTTAGCTACTGCTACTTTTCTCCCCACCTCTTTAGAGCCAAACTTAAGTTATCCACATTTACTGTCTCCATTTCCCTTCCATTAGAATGACCTATAGGGCTTGTTAAGCCACAGATTTCTGGGCTTCTCCTTCAGAGTTTTTAATACAGAATTTTTCAAGTGAGGTCTGAGAATTTGCATTCCAAACCATGGCCTGAGAATTTGCATTCTAACCTGTTTCCAGATGGTACTGGCTCTGCTGGTCTGTTGATCACACTTTGAGAATTGCTGCTCTACACTTGTTAGAAATGTAGCCTCTCAGGTCTCATATGAGTTCTACCAAATTAGAATCTACATTTTAACAAAATCATCAGGTTATTTGGATGAACACTAGAGTTCGAGAAGCACTCAGATGGCCTTATGTGTCATTCAATTCCAAATTCATTCCATGAAAACAGCTTTTATGTTATAGCTGTCATTCACCTTTTACCTTTCAAACTGGTTTAAAACAAAAGAGCTAAATCATGTATGTGCCCCTACTCTTTGTCTCATCAACTGATCCTTCTCTGGATTGGAATTTTCTTCTTGAATACACATAAAGTCTAACAACAAATACACGGTGCTTTAGATAAGACAAACTACAATGCTACATCTAAACTAAAAGTGGTTTGTATTCTGCCTGCCAAGTTTTTCAATTTGTTCTTTAGGCTTTTCATAGGGTGCCTTTTTGAGGTTATTGCCCCCTACCTTTTCAATTTTACTCCAAGCTGAAACACAGCCTCTCATTTTCCTAAAGCAGGACCTGGTTATAACTTTACCAAAGACTTGGGGTTCATGGAATGGAAACACATGCAAAAAAAGCAGCCAGTGGATACGAGTGCTTCACGGGTTCATAAGCCACACTTTTCCCAAGGATGTTCGGACCTCTCTATTTCTTGATGTGTTGCTAAGATGCAGCTTACCTGCCTTGCTCTTGACCTCTGCCTTCTACCTCGTGTTATGCCTTCTTCCAAACTCCTGCCTACCCAGAACACAAACCCCTATCTCATCTGAGTACCAGACTGGGAAAAATCTAGTTTTCCCTCCTTGCCCCAGTCTGAAGCCTACCCCAGCCAACAATGTATCATCATTTGCAGTTTAATTCCTTGGAGTCCTTAAAACACTCCAATCTACAAGACATTTTGGCTTTATCTTTGTATAGTTTAAAAAGTTCACTAGGCTGGGCGCAGTGGCTTATGCCTGTAATCCCAGCACTTTGGGAGACTGAAGCGGACAGCTAATGAAGTCAGGAGTTCGAGACCAGCCTGGCCAACATGGTGAAACCCCGTCTCTACTAAAAATACAAAAAATTAGCTGGGCATGGTGGTGCGTGCCTGTAAACCCAGCTACTCAGGAAGCTGAGGCAGAAGAATCGCTTGAACCCGGGAGGCAGAGGTTGCAGTGAGTCAAGATTGCACCATTGCGCTCCAGCCTGGGTGACAGAGCAAGACTCTGTCTCGAAAAAAAAAAAAAAAAAAAAGAGTTCACTAAAAGTTTCCAGTTACCACCCTTTCACCCCTCAAAAAAGATTTATCTGACTTCAAAGGCACTTAGTCAAAGAGATAAATGCTTCAAGATTTCAAAAAAGTTAGAATTCTACTGCAGGATCCAGCAATTACACTTCTGGGTATAGCCATATAAATTGAAATCAATTTGCTGAAGAGATAGCTGCACTACTATGTTCACTGCAGTATATTCACAGTAGCCAAGATATAGAATCAACCTGTGTCCATCAATGGATGAATGGATTAAAAATGTAGTGTGTATGTGTACATATATATGTGTGTGTGTATATACACTTTATATATGTATAGATGCTCTCTTTCTCTCTCTCTACACACACACACACACACACACACACACACACACACAAATGGGTTACGATTCAGCCATAAAGAAGAAGGAAATTCTGTCATTTGTGACAACATGGATGAATCTGGAGACATTGTGCTAAATGAAATAAGCCAGGCACAGAAAGATAAATACCACATCATCTCACTTATATGTGGAATCTAAAAAAAGCCTGACTCATAGAAATAGAGAGTAGAGTGGTAGCTACCAGAGGCTGGAGTGGGCAGGGTTTGTGGGGGGCTGGGGAGAGAGGGAATGAAGAGTTCTTGATCAAAGGGTACAAAGTTTCAGTTAGAGAGGAGAAATACGTTTTTGAGATCTATGGAACTGAAGAGTGACTACAGTCAATAATAATGTATTATATATTTCAAAATAGGTAAGAGAATAAATTTCAAAGGACTCACCACAAAAATAATGATTGAGGTAATGGATATGTTAGTTAGCTAGACTTAATGATTCCACATTGTATACATATATTAAAACATTGCATTGTGCCCCATAAATATATACAATTATGATTTTTCAGTTAAAATAATAATACTAATTATTATTATTATTCAAAAATAATTCTACTACAGATAGAGCACTTTTTCCATATAAATTAGTTTTATTAGCTCATTCAGGCAATAGATCTTGCTGTCAGAAGTTCATACATGTGATGGCTGTATTTAAAAACAATACTAACAGTTACTTGTGTATGCTTTCTGTATGGGTACAAAGAATTATTCAGGCACATCAAGTATAATTTTTAACTCCTGATTTCTTTTTGTCAGCAATCTTTCAAAAATCTTCTGTTTCTTGACATAAGTTTGGTGAATTAAACTGGAACAAATTCATTTAATTAGATGGTGCTGGAACAACTAGATGTTCATATGAGAAAAAAATGAACCTCTGAAATTTACACCTCAAACATGCACAAAAAATAATTTGACATGGATTATAGGCCTAAACATAAAACTGTAAAGCTTCTAGAATAAATCGTAGACAAACATCTTTGCAACCTTGGGGTAGGCAAAGATTTCTTAAGGAAAATACAGCAAGCACTAACACTCCCCTCCCAGCCACACACACACACATTAGTAAAATAGACGTCATCAAAATTTAAAACTTTCAAAAGACACAGTTAAAAGAAGGAAGATGAGCCATAGGCTGCAAGAGTATGTTTGCAAGACACATATCTGACCAAATACTTGCACACGGAATATATAAGTAATACGTACAACTTAATGATGTTTTAATAAACACAATTTTAAAAATAGGCAAAAGATTTGAACAGACACCTCACAAAAAAAGATGCATAAATGGCCAATAAGCATTTGAAAAATACTCAATGTTAAATTCTCATAAAAACACAGTTTTAAGCCACAATGAGTGGGTTTTAACCCACAAAACCCACTAGAATGGCTAAAACTAAGGAGAATAAAACTCCAAGTTTTCATGTTACTTCTCATATATTGAACTATAAAATAATTTAGCTACCCTGGAAAATTATTTGGCAGTTTCTTGTAAAGTTAAACATTCACTTACCACCCAATTGTGGAATTCAGAAATTCCACTCCTAAGTATATACCCGAGTCAAATGAAATGATGACTACACAAAGATCTACATGCAAATATTCACAGCAGCTTTATTCCTAATAGCCACCACTGGAACCAGCCCAGGTATCCATCACCAGGATAATGGATAAACAAACTGCAATATAGTCATACAATGGAATGCAGCTGAGCAATAAAAAGGAACTAACTACTGATATACCCAACAAGGATAAATCTCAGAAGCATTGTGCTGCGTGAAAGAAGTTGGATTCAAAACACTACATGTGTGATTTTTACTGCATACATGAACTTCATGTCAGAAGTTCAAGAACAAGTAATCCAGGATTTAAAAAGGTACAACACACCCAAATACAGGAGGATAGTTGATATAACCAACAGAGATGTCAATTGTCACCTTGTTTATGATGGTAGAGAAGGGGATATGATAGTCTGCACAGCACATGCTCATAAACTCCCAAAGTATGGTGTGAATTTGGCCAGACAAATTATACTGCAGCACAGTGAAACGGCCCACTGAAAATGTCTTCAGCACTTCACTCCTTGCCACCCAATTCTATGAATTCATCACCACCCAACTCAGATGTCATTTCCTCCATGAAGTTTTTATTCTCTCTTATAGCTAACACAGTTTTAAATTATTTTCTGAACTACTGAAGCACTTTTATTCTTCCAAACTCTAGTTCTCATGATACAATGGCTGAAAATATATTTGCAGCTTCTTTTCTGAAATATCATATATTTTTTATAGTGTGAGCCACACAGGGTTAGGCACACAGAAGGTATTTGAATGCCTAAATAAATATTTGAATTTCAAAAATGTTTAATCTCATATAATGTGGATCTCCTTCCCCTGAACTCAGAGCATACACATGATAAGATAAATAATTTAAATTTTTTGAAATAAATCTTGCCTTGGCCAAGATAAATAATTTAAATTTTTCCAAATAGATCTTGCCTTGGCCAAAAAGAATAATTGGAAAAGTTGGATAATACCCTAACTTTTTTTAAAAAAACTATACTTTAAGTTCTAGGGTACATGTTCACAATGTGCAGGTTTGTTACATAGGTATACATGTGCCATGTTGGTTTGCTGCACCCATCAACTCATCATTTACATTAGATATTTCTCCTAATGCTATCCTTCCCCCAGTACCCCACCCCTTGACATGCCCCAGCATGTGATGTTCTCCGCCCTGTGTCCATGTGTTCTCATTATTCAACTCCCACCTATGAGTGAGAACATGTGGTGTTTGGTTTTCTGTCCTTGTGATAGTGTGCTGAGAAAGATGGTTTCCAGCTTCATCCATGTCCCTGAAA